CCGAGGGCCCCAGGCCCTCCGGAGAATGCGGGGCGGAGGCAGACGGGCACAGAACAGGCTCCCGCATGTAGTGCCATGTGCACGGCCGCCTCGCGGATGGCGGAGGGGCGGGGGGGGGGCGGGGGGGCGGGGACAGAGGTGGGTGTTTGCAAAGCTAAAGGCAGAGGGTGCGTGTGCGGGCGAGCTGGGGCCCACGAAGCCGTTCCCGGGGTGTGGGGTGCCAGATCTGGCACTTGCCTTTAAGTGCGGGGGGGCTCGGGCCTGTCCCTGTTGGAGTGGGGGTGACAGGCTGGCGGGGACAGAGGCTGCGGCCGCCACGCGGTGGGTCAGAGCTGGAGACGGGGGTGCGCGCTCCTGCTGGGAGGCACACAGGACCTCCCCGCGCTATCAGCCGAGGGGACCAGAAGCCGCCGGCGGGCACCCAGACCCCGGCCTCTGATGGGGCTGATTCTAGGGCTGGGCGGGCGGGAGACGGACCGCAGGAGCCCAGGGCGTCTCGGGGCCAGAGAGGGAAAGGGGTCCGGTCAATCAGAACGGCGAAGGCCCAGGAGTGGGGCTCGTCGGACGGACACCGGGCGTGACCCGCACGGCTCCGGGTGGCCCAGGCCGGCCGGAGGGAGGTCATGCTGGCCGACGGCTCCAGCTGTGACACAGACACCCGTGAGTCCGTCCGCGCTCACCTGAACACATAACGGGGAGGCGGTCAAAGAGCCGTGAGAAAAATGCTAGATAGTTGGCTTAGATGCTTCGCGCCCGGGAGGTGGTGCCTGACCCCGCTCCCGAGCACGGGCTGGGCCGAGGGACGGTGTCGAAGGGCAGAAGGGGGCTCCACAGTGCAGAAGCCGGGCAATGTGACCTCGGCCAGTGGCCAGAGCCACCACCGGTGACGGCCACGGCGTGCGCCCCGAGACGATGTGGTGAGGACGGTGCCTCACCTGGCGGTCCCCACCCCCACCCACCTAAGCACCCACCTGGGGACCAGATCCCGTGGAGGGACGCTCTACGGGACGCCCGGCCCGTCGTCCTCGGAACAAGGGAAGTCTGGGCAACTCTCCTTCCAGGGGGGGGTCCAAGGAGATGTGGTGGCTAAATGTCACGTGGGGTCTTGGGGACCCTGGGGGCAGGAAGAGGGCACTGGGTGAAAACCAAAGTCGGACAAATGTGCCCAGCAGCGTGACAGGACAGCGTGGAAAGGCCGCTGGGGGGCAGGGCAGGGGGGCTCAGCGTGGGGGGCCGCTGAGGTGTCTTTGTACCTCTCCGTAAATCTAATGCTGTTCGAAATTCAAAAAGTTTATTTAGAAAATCGAAGCGGCACGTATACAAAAAAAAAAAAGTCATCGACTGTGGTCTGAGCTCTTACTTACGGAAACCCATGAGTTTCCCTGTGAGATGTTCCAGCTGTTGTAAGTGAAGACTTGGCTTTTCCAGAAAGATTCCACAGCACGCCCTTATTAGTATCTCATATTTAGAGGCGGGGGGGGGGGGGGGGGGGGGGGGGAGGGAGGGAGGTGGGGGGAGGAAGGGAAGTGAAAGGAGGGGCGCCCAGGGTCCTGAGCACACTGGGGACCTCGGAAGCAGGGGCCACACCGCGCGCACGTTACGCTCTGTGGTTCAGCCCCCAGCTCTCCCGCAACACTGGCCGAGCCCTAGGCCCGCCGGACCCGGGGTGGAGGGGCCCCCGAGCCAGAAACGTGCAGGCCTTCCCGCCAGACAGGCAGGGTTTCTGAGAGTTTCTCCCCGTCCGGGGTTGGGTGGCCACGGTCGGTCGTAGGAGGGGAGAGCAAGCAGGGCGTCAGTGCAGGGGGTGGGGAGTGGGGGGTGGGAGTGGAAGGCGGGACTTGCCTGGGCTGCAGGGTCCCCGGTGAGCCGAGTGGAGGCTGCCCACGGGGCCGGGGAAGAAGATACGGGCGTTGCCGGAGGGCCATGAGGTCTCAGAGGGCCCCAGGGTGGGGGGAGCAGGGACGAGGGAGGGGCGTGGGAGTCTGCCAGTGAGGACAACTCCAATGACTGTTGGCTACAACAGCAAATGGATTTTCATTAGGAAAACAAAAGCAATCCACACACACACAAATAACGAGTTAGGAGGAAACAGACTGGATTGGGGGGGGCGGGCTGATTGCCGGTTCCAACCAATGGCAGAGCTGCCTGGAGCACTGTGCTGAGACGGACTCTGAGGTCTTGTCTGGGGGCAGGAGACGGAGGCCTGACGGGCTGGGTCTGCGGCGGCTTCAGGAGAGTGGAGGCAGGGCACCCGCCAGCCAGTCACCCGGAACGGTCACTGTGCACCTGCTCCCCTGGGTCAGTTGGGGGTGAGGGGGCAAGTGGGCAGCCGGCTTAAGGGTCTGGAGCCAGCCCCCTCGGGCGGCCACCCCTGTGACTTTGGACAGGCCCTCTTGGGGCTCCAGGAATTCCAACGGTCCCGGACCCCCTCCCCTAGCCCAGGAGTTACGGCCGCTTGTACAGCTGGGTTGCACATCTCCGGGTGGACAGTGGGTGGCGCCATCCAATTATTCCAAGCTGGAAGTCCCTGGATGTTGCAACTTTAGGGGATACATATGCTATGGAACTAGCGGGTTCAGTAAAGCCGATCTCTGCACACGCTGAACTCTGCGGATTACAGCGCTGAACGGAGTCAAATTCAAAGAGACATTTCACGGGCTCTTTGTAGTCCCTGCAAACCCCTTTCCTTGACTTGTGGGGCTGCACGTGGGCGTGATTCCGACAAAAAGTGACGTCCCTGGAGCACGGGATGGGCGGGAACCTCGCCACACCTGGAGGTTTTCAGCCTTCTCCCCGAGAAGCCCCTGCCCCTCAGGACAGGTGTGATGCACCTGGAATGAGGTCAGGCCTCCCCGGGTGTCTGGGGACACTGCAGCACAGGCTGTCGGCACCCGCGACCGCCACCAGAGGGCAGCGTCGCCCCGCCGAGCGCGGCCCGCCGCCCGGCGGTGGACCCTGCTGATTGGCTAAGCCTGCCGTCTCCCTGGCAACCGTCTCCGGCCCGCCCTCTCCCAGCGTCCAGGCGCCCCGCGCTGCCTGCGGGGTGGTCCGGGGCCGTCGGCGCCCTGTCGCGCGCTTGGGGCCCGGGAGCTGCCCGGCCCGGAGCCCCGAAGCGTCGAGGGGCCCGATATCAGCATCTCTGGTTTCATTTTGGTTGAGGGGTCCTCTTGTCCTTAAATGCTTGCTTTTCCCACATCCTGTTCTGGAAACAGAGCGGAAAACAAGAGAGGGAGCTTTCCAAGCCAGACAGGAAGGCCCCGGGAACCCTGTGACCTGCCTCGCCTGCCCCCCGCCCCCCCCCCCCCCCCCCGCAGAGCCCCTGCATGCGCCTCCCAGCTGGTCATCTCACACGTGGAGGGCAGGGAGTGGGTGGGGAGGTTGCACCTGCTGGGGCGGGGCGGGGAGGGATGCAGGACGAGGGGATCAAGGCCCCCAGGCCTGGGGGAGGTCCAGTGGGAGCCCCTCCGTGGCCAGACCTTGTCCGGTGTGACGTGATTATGAATTGTGACCACCCTGGACCCCAAGGTGATGCCCTGGCCTGTCCCCAGAGCCTGCAGAAAGGCCCAGGAGGGCACCTTTCCAGTTCTGAGCAAGTCGTGTAAGAGAAGGGCAGCGAGGGACATACCAGCAGCCTCTGCAGGGCATCCAGTGGCCAATGGGGGGCCAGGGCCATCAGCCCCAGCCAAGCAGTCTGAGGAATCAAGGGAAGACAACCTGGGGTACATAGTGGGAGCAGGTCTCAACGGGGAGCCAGCCATGTGACGAGCCAGGGAAGGACCACCCAGCAGGGAACAGCAGGGGTGATGGCTCAGAGGCGGGAGTGTGTCAGGTGTTCAAGGAACTGCTCAGAGTAGAGACGGGGAGGAAGCAGCCCGTGCCTGGGGCCCAGGAGGAGGTTGGGAAAGAGGCTGGGCAGCATGAGGCCCACATGGCTAAGCGTCAGCCAGACATCTGATGGCTCCAGCGGCCTCCTCCCAACCGCCTTTCAAGTGACTCTGCCCCCGACCAACTGTCCACGACCCTCCTGCTTCCCTCTCCTTGGCCTCGCAGACTCTGAGAAAAAGGCCAGCGCCATGCCTTCCCCCCCACGTCCCCAGCTGGTCAGGGGCATGCTAACCGACCTCTGAGGCTCCTTGCTCACGGGGGCTCCCCGTCTTCTCCTCGGGGTGCCCTGAGACCCCAGCACAGGACCAGGTGCCCCGCACGGCTGAGCACGTGACATGTGGGTGGGCCGTAGCCCGGACGAGGGGGCTGCAGGACGACAGGACAGTCACGCTGGGGTGAGTCAGAGGCTCCGGGGCCCTCGGCCTAAGCACCCACCCACTCATTCATTCATTCATTCATTCATTCAGCAAACATTGCCTGGAAATCTGAGCTGGTTCCACAGACAGCAGTTAGCAGAGTCCCTGTGACACAAATGCCATGTGGGCCACATACAGGATTAAAAATGTGCCAGTAGTCACGTCAAGAAGCACGCGAATTTTAATAATTTTTTTTTATTTAACCCAGCATATAGATAGAGTTAGTGTCATTTCAATATGCAAGCAATATAAGTTACTAATGAGCTATTTTGCATCTGGTCTGGGGGTACAAAGTCTTTGAGATTTGGTATATATTTACGCTCCCAGCCCATCTCCACTTGTACAGGTCACTTTCAAGCTCTCCAAAGCCGCATGTGGCTAGTGGCTGGCGTATCGGACCGTGACAGTCCAGAACATTCTCATGGGGCTGCATGCAGGCAGCAAATGTGGGCCGCTGTGTGTCAGGAGGAGGTCCCGTTCAAGGTCCTGTGGGAGAACAGAGGAGAGCGCAACCCATGGAGGAGGGACTGGAAGGCTCCCCCTTCGAGCTAGGCACTGAAGGATGACTAGGCAGTTCTCTGAGTGAGCGCAAAGTTTTCGGCTTCCATTCCCCGTACCCCGGGTGGGGCTCATGACGGTCGAGGACAGTCTGGAGAAATCAAGGACCTTCCGTGACCACCCCACCAGGTGCTCCTGAAGGAACCATTGGCTTAAGCCCTCTTGTTAGGGCTTATCTCTACCCCTGGGGCCAGTGCTGATGTTTTCGCATCTTCTCGTTACAGACGCTGAGGTCTGGGGGTTCAGCTACGCCAGGTGGGCCCCAAATCTTGAGCTCTATTGGCCAGGTCCCACTGCCGCTTACAGGGCCGTTGTGCCTGTGTTCGTGAACCTTCCAGAACCTTGGCCTATGTGTTACCTGCGGGGATTCTCTAGACTTGTCTGTAAGCAGGCAGGGCCGGTAGGATTATCTGGTTCCTGCTTTTTGGTCCTCTTTAGGCCGAACTGAAAGTCTGTCGCTGCCGCCGGGGCCCAGGCCAGCCCGCTTGGGTGCTACCTGCTTCGACAGCTCTCCCCGGGGACCAGCCTGGAGAGCCACCGTGTTCACAAAAGCCGTTAGATACGGATCTTCCAAAATGTTTCCACAAAGAATCAGAAGATTAAACCTGCATCGGGGACGTCTCTGGACGGGTGCCCGGTGTGGGGGTGGCTGAGGGCCGTGACGGCTCTGCGTGACCAGAGGCAGGTCGCTTCTACTCTCTGGAGGTGGTGACTTGCCCTGCCATCAGAGGAGGGGGTTGTTCTGGGCCCCTCCGTCCCCCGAAGCTGCCTCCTCTGTTGGGGCTTCATCCGGAAGGGAGAAACGGAGCCCCTGCCCCGCCCCGCCCTGCCCCCTGCAGACATTCGCTGCACATTCCGAGGCTGAAGTGGTCCCATCGCATTCTTCTTGGGGGGCCTGGGCGGGTTCGAGCAGGGCCCACCTCGCCGAGGGGCCAAGTGGGCGCGTGGGAGGAGCGTGGGCCTCCGTGTGAGATTGGGCGTGGATTCGGGCTCTGTGACATCCGCGTGGCCACCGCTCACCACCTACAAGGGGGAGGGGGCGGCAGGCATCCTGTCCCCCACCCCCACCCCGGGGGTGGGCCGGGGGGGGTGCTCCAAGTCTGCCTGATGCTTTCTTTCCCCATTGTCCCCTACCCGGGCTCCTTCGGGCCCGGTGCCTCCCAACATGGTGCGCGGCGGGCTGTGTCACTGGGCAGGAAAAGGTTAACCGGGCAGCTGGGGTGTACCCACAGCCGGCACTTTCCAAAGGTCTGGCCCTGGCCCAGCTGCTGGGAGGCGACCTCTGGGCCCTTCGGATGTCATCCTGCCTTTGTTTGCCTGGGGTCTCGGCCCACGCCAGAGGCATCGACGGGGGCCCTCGGGCCACACGGTTTCAGCTGGACCTCGGGGGTGGGGGGTGGGGTGGGGGGGTGCGCAGAAGGCTCAGGTCGGCTGCGTCTACGTGGCCGATGCCCAGTGACAACCTACACACCTGAGCTCCGATGGTTTCCTGGCTTGGCTGCACCCCGCGTGTGTGGTCACACAGGGTCCTGGGCGAGCTGACCGCCGTCCATCGGCCGGAAGAGACTGTGACCGTGAGTGCAGCGGCTTGGCTGGGCTCTGTGAACCCTAGTGAATCGCTGAACCTGAGCTTGGTCCTGGGGACGCCTGTGCCGCATCTCTGGTGGTTGGTCCTGGAGGCAGGGGAGTGGGGAAGGTGTCGGCCCCGTTTCCCTCACGGCCCCCAGAGGGCAGTCCTGTTCCAGGAACCCAGGGCACCACACACGCTTGTGACAGCTGGCTGAGGCTTCCCTGGGGGCCTTTGACCCCTCTCTCCTCCCCTCCGCATCCCCAGCTCTGCCCACCCAGGACATCCACCTGCCAGCCCAGAGTCCCCGCGCAGAACAGATGTGCAAAGGCTCCGTGGGCTCGGGGGGACCTGTGCCAGCCCCATCCCAGATCTCAACCTCCTGGGTCACAGGGAAGCAGACAGGGTGGGGGGGACGCGAACAACTTTGGACGCAAAGACTTTGTGTCATCTCAGAAGCTGGAGTGCTTGGGGGCTGGGAGGGGCTTCCAAAGGCAGCATCTGGGTCTTTCCCCGCTGGCTCAAGGCTTTGGTGGTGGCAACAGGGCCAGGAGGCCTGGCCCCGTCCCACACCCCACCAGGGGCCCTCATGTGCCAGCCCCCTCTCCCCCAGGAGGTGCCTCAGGACCCCGACAGTGTGTCTGTCCAGCCTTCGGGCCTCTGCTCAAAGCTGTCCCCCGGCCTCGACGTGGGCCTGCGGAAAAACCGGGCTCCCCTTGAGGCACAGGTGTCCCTTTGGCCGCGAGCCCTCCGGAACCTGCCCTCCCTGTTCAGCTCCACACCTGCCTCCGGGTGACTTGGTCCAGTTGAGGCGCTCCCTGGTGCCAGCCCTGGACAGAGGCTGCTTTTAATTAAGGCTCCCAGCACAACCCCCGTCCTGTGGAAACGGAGGCTCCGCGTGGAGACGTGTCTTCCCCGCGGCCGCTCAGCCTCGGCTGCGGGGCTGGGAGGCCCAGCAGGACGGTCTGAGCCCGAAGCCTGGTCCTGACGCCCTGCCCTGCTCTTTCCCGGGCCACGGCCTCCCCTCGGCCCACAGTGTGGCCAGGGCCCCGGCCTCCGGGGAGAGGGGCTGTCCTTAACGCCCCGGGGCCCCGGGACCGTGTCCTCCCGGGGTCTAGACCCGGGGCGTGGGGGCGGCCGAGGACCCGGGCCGGACTGGGGCCCGCCTCCTCCCTGGCCTGCGGACGTGGCCGGCCGCCCCCGCCCCGCCACGTCGCCCGGCCGGCAGGAAGCTGTTCACTCTTGCTCTCTTTTTTGTGAATTTTTGGAGGGTTGTTGTTGCAGGAAACATCTGGACGTGGTCCAAAGAACATAATGAAAAAAGGAGCGAGAGGGGGAGCGGGGGAGGAGGCAGGGGTTGGGGGAGGTTTGGAAAAACCATCTGATCTCACTTTGCAGAGGCAACTGCGATTATGCCCCTGTGGGTTTCACAGCCGCTTCAGATGCAGACCGTGCGGGTGACGTCAGGAGAAAACATGAGGCCCCAGATCGTTTGGTGACACACGAACACGGAATGGGTCCCAGGCCGGCTCCTGGCTTTCGAATCAGGACAGTCGATGGGCCACGGGTCTTTTCCAGAGGCGAGGGAGGCAGGACAGGATTCCCCGCTGCGGACTTACTGGGGCGTCTGGCCGGGTGGCCCCGGCTTGGGGGGGGGGGCCACAGAGGAGAAGCGCTCCACGGGGCTGCTCCCTGAAGTTCAGTGTCTGTCGAGCCCACCTCGAGCCCACCGACTCCGGGGGCACGAATCCGGGCCTGGCCCAGCCCACTCTGCTCTGCCCGCCGGCCGTGCCTTTGGCATCGCGGGCTCCCGGGTCTTGGGGGGTGGTGCCCTGGGCGTGCAGGGCTGGCTCAGCCCTCGGGGCTCCCCAGTTCAGAGGGCGCCCACTCCAGTGCTTTCCGGGGGTGCCCTGTGGTGTGGGGATGAGTGCCGGTGACCCTCACGGCGTCCCCAGGTCCTGGCCACCTTTGCCCTGGAGTGGGAGTGAGGGTGACAGCTGACCTCTGTGCCCCCTGCCCTCGGGTCGGGGCCTCTGCCTGTCCCAGCACCACTAGCCGGGGTCTCCAGACCCCACTCCAGAGCAGGGGTGCTGGAACGTGACAGGAGCTGCACAGGAAAGGATGTCAACTCCCCGTCAAGATTTTAGGGCCTCCCCATAGATGCTGCCCGCCCCCACCCTGATGGAGCCCAGGCCCCCGACGGAGGGGACCACAGCCCGTCCCAGATAGCCCCGCTGCCTGCAAGGACTTCGCGGTCGGGACAGTCTGCATGGGGGGGGGGGGGGGGGGAAGGCTAGCCCACTGCCGTCTCCACGTTTCGTCAGAAATGTTTCTTGAAATAAAACCAGAGATGCCCAGTGACGTAGCAAGGACGAGCGGGTGTCCGCCCGAAGGGACTCAGGTTCAACCGGACCAGCCGAACTGTGTCAGTCCTGAAAGCCAGGCCCTGCCCTGGGAGCCCACCCAGGAGGGTGTCCCCTGAGCACAGCCCCTGTGGACCCATAGGGCCCAAGTAGAAACCACCCCCCCCCTCCTCCCCCAGCCTCTCCTTCCACCGGACAGGTGGGACCCGGCTGAGGTCCCGGAGGACACGGGGGGTGCAGGCAGAGGGCTCCGGGCCTTCTCGGGGCTGTGGGGCTCAGCCTGGAGCGGGCCCTGAGATGGGAGGGGGTCGGAGCTTGGCTCAGGAGGGGGGGGGGGGGGGGTGGGGGGGCGCGTCTGTCTGGGAAGCGATTCAGCGGTGGCTGCAGCAGAGCCTTGAGTCATGGGCTGGGGCCTCCTGGCCTCTGGGGGGGTCTGAAGACATTTTTTCCATGGAAAGTAGCCGCTGGCTCTCTGCTCAGCAGGGAGCTCTCTGTCCCCCTCCCACCGCCGGTGGGGGCCTTGGCAGTGTGCTGCTGATTCTCTGTCGGACTTTCCACCGGCCTGGGGTGGGGTGGGAGCACCAGGCAGGGGTCCGACGGGCGGGTTCGGGACCTGGGTCAGCCTGCAGCGAGCGCCTGTCTTCTGAGTCTTTGCTTCACTTTCTGTTTGAGTCGCACTTTGGGGTCAGATGGGACGATGCACTGGGCCCAGCTGGGAGGGGACAGACCCGACTCCTTTGTCAGCTCTTCAAGGGGAAGATGGGGGTGGCGTGGGGGTGGGGAGCTGCAGGAGGTGGAGGGGGGGGTGTTTCCCCCCCCCAGACCTCCCCACCAGAGCCCAGGGGGAGACGCACCTACCTGCTCCGTGGGGTGCCCCCCTGCCCGTTCTGCCCGGGCTCCTTGGCCATAAGCCTGTTAGCGATCCCCCCTGTAGCCCCTTGAGGGCCTCGTCCCCACCACGGGAGACGCAGGCATCCCCAGGAGCCCCAGAACTTTCGGTGCCGGCGGGGGGAGGGGCAGAGGGTCCGCAGTGATGAGCAGCTGCTTGTGGCCGAGCTCGGGGGCCTCCCCTCCTCGTTCCTGTCGTCGGTGGTATGGGCGGGAGGGGAGGCAGCCGCACGGCAGGGCTCTCACCTGGGTCGGTGGCCTCCTGGCTGGGTGTGGATACAGCCTAGGAAAGACCCAAAGTGGGTTGGTTATCGCAAGTGGTCTTGGCAACGTGGCCCTGGGGCTGCAGCGCAGAAGCTCTGTGACGCTGCCCCTTCCTCCGGGAAGCCCTCTTGAACCATGTCTGTCCGCCTGACTTTCTTCCTCCTTTAGACTCTGCTGTGGACCACACGGTCTGCCCTCCCTGTGTTCTAGCTTCTGTGAATCGAGAAGTCTCGCGTCTCTGGAGATCTCGGCTCCCGGAGGGCTCCCCGTAAGCGCTGGCTGTGTCGGCCGAGGGGCGAGCGGGTGCCAGGCGTGTGGGCCCGTAGAGGGTCCTGGGCTACAGGCTTAGGTGCGACCCCCAGCCACACCACCCACCACCTGCGTGGACATGACCACGTGGCCCGCCGCTCTGAGCCTCAGTTTCCCCTCCCGTGAGATGGGATCGTAGCGGCACTGGCCTCCCTGGGTTCCCGGAAGGCTTTCACGGTGATGGATCTCCAGGCGCCTGCAGACCGTCCGGGTCCGAGCCGCCTCCAGAAGGCTCTCTGCCCCCACCCTGCCCGTGACCCGGGAGCATAGCCCACTGACACTGGTGAGTATTTGTTTGTTTTTTAGAGAGGGAGGCTTCTTTAAGGATGCGAATATCCTGTTTCTTCTTGACCCTTTGCCCATTAATTTTAGCATCCTGGGGGCTCCTGCCCTCAGTGGTCACTGACGCCCACCGACAGCCAACAGTGGGCTCAGGGCTAGGTCTGTCTTGTCCCCTATGGAGGTCCTGGGCAGCTCCCAAGGGCGGTGGCTGTATTTGTCACAAGGCGGCAGGACGGGAGGATAAGGACTCTCTGGGCCTGGACAGGGAGAACCTGGCCATGCCCTCCTCAGCTCTCTGACCTTAGGTAACGACAGACCTTTCCTCTGCCTCAGTTTCCCCATCTGTGCCACGGGGCCAGCTTCTACCTCAGAGGGTCTGTGAGCTGCTGAATGCGAACATGGCCAGGGCCAGGCCGCGAGCCGCCCGGGGGAGGGGTGGCCAGTGGTGGCGGTCCTTCTCCGGGCTGTGACGACTTCCCGCTTGCCTTGTCGCTCTTTCCCGAAGGCCGCGAGGGCTTGCGGGGCAAGTCCTTCGGAGTCCCCCAGGATAAGCTCTCGCTCTGCCGACTGGGGAAACGGAGGCCTACGGAAGTCACAGCCAGAGAATTCACCCTCCCCACGGTGGCTGCCTAGTCCCCCTCTGAGTATGGGCCTCAGGGACCTGGAGATGGCAGGGTCCCGGCAGGAAAGGGACACTCCATGTCGCCAGGGTGATTGGAAGTGAGTTTACCGAGGTCGCCGTGTGCAAAGACGGGGGTTGGTGCCGGGGAATCTCCGGGGCTTGCGCAGGGCGGGGCTGGGAGCAGTGGGGAGCCAAGGGTGGGATGGGGCCTGAGGGGGGGTGTGGAAGGAGTGGGTCACCCCGCGCCAGTCCTCTGACCGGCGGAGCCAGCGGGCTGCTGGAGGGCAGCCGGGGCCCCTGGGGCCCAGAGCCGGGGGGAGAGACGGTGCACGGTGGGTCGGGAGGGGACACCCAGGTCACCGAAGGTAGTTCTCAAACAAGTGCCCCATGTTTGAGAACTCACGTTAGGACATTCAGGTGGTGCTGAGTTAGCCGTGGCCCCCACCCTTGGCTTCCTTGAGTCCAAAGTTGGAAGGCCCTCTGCACTGGTGGCAAGGCTCCGTCTCACGCACCTTCTGTGGCTCCCCATCACCGGCCGTGGAGAGCCCCAGCACCGGGCCGGAGGAGTCAGGGCCACAGCCTCCCCCCAACACCCACCTCCAGGCTGCCCAGGGCTCTGGGGACAGGCCGTTTCTTCACCTGTGGGCAGGGTCCTGCTACTCGGGGAAGTGCCGTAGTTCCCTCCCGACCCCCCGGCCCAGAGCGCCTTCCTCAGCACACCGCGTCCGGGACTGGGGCCGTCGCGTGCAGAGGAGGACGTGGCGAGCAGCTGGCCACTGCCATCAGATCCCGGCAGCCGCCCCCACCCTGGTTGTGACCACCACAACTGTCTCGGACATTGCCACATGTCCCCTGGGGGACGCAGTGGTCCTCCTGCGAGTCAGGCAGGAGTCAGACTGGCTCAGGGAGCCAGGCCACCCTTTGTCCCCATCATGCTTTGCCAGAGGGGGTGCCCGGTGCCTCCCCGACCCCACGCCGGGTTGGCGGGGGCCCGCCGTGTGCCCACCGGGGGCCGAATGGGAGAAACCACCGTGCCTGGGGGGCGGGCCCGGGTGGGGATCGTCGCCTCCTTTCTTTAGGAAGGAGGGCCGTTGGGGGGGGGGGGGCCCGCACAGGGACCCAGCTCACAGCCTCGTGGCCGAAGACCGCATGACCACGGGCCACCTTCCGCGGCTTCTGTGAGCTGGGGACCTGGAAGCGCTTCAGAGGCCGCATCATCGGAGGGTTTGCCCGGGGCTGGAAGGCCGCTTCGGAGGCGGCTCCGGCGGCCTCCCGACACACGCTGTGGCTCGCACGCGTTCCGGCCCTCAGGTGGCCCACCCGGCACGGCCAGGTGCCGGCGGCGGCTAGACCCACGTGGCTCTCGTGGTGCGGTCCCGCGGCCTGTTTTCTCGCGCACTGGGCTCCTCTCCTCCACGGACGCCCGTGTCTGACGGGCGGATGGGTCCAGTTGGCGCTCGAACGGCACCGGGCCTCCAGGCCTCCCGGCTTGCCTTCAGCCCGGGCGACTCGCACCCTGGACGGCCCGCGGGGGCCGTTTTCTGGCTTCGGAGGCGTGTTGCAATGCGCTGGTGTCCGTCGAGAGGGACGTGCCTTCCAACCCAGCCTGTGTGGCTTCGGGCACATTACCGAGCTCCCCCGGGCCTCAGTTTCTTCCTCTGTAAACTGGGGATAATGGAACACCCCCCCCCCCCACCTTCTCCGGCCAGGAGCCGCGCCCATGGGCATCGTCACGACGGCAACTTGCCCAAACCGGGGTCTGTGCTCTTGGCCTCTGCCTTCGGAGGGCCGCGCTGGGCCTCGCCGCGGTAGGAGGACCGGGGGGAACGTAGCAGGAGGGTGGAGGCAGGGAAGGGGCACCGGCTTCCCAGATACAGGCTGCGCCCAGTGGCCGCGGCCGGGGGGGGGGAGCCAGGAGCAGGCCCAGCGCCGTGACGCCCCTGTGGGGCTGGAGGGAGTCCGGTGCCCGGCTACCGGGGATGGAGAGAGTAAGCGGGGCTGGGCCGGGGGGCTGAGCCATGCCCGGGGTGCCCAGCCAGCCACACCCCTGGGCGGGAGGGTCTTATAAACGCACCGAGCTCGTCACCGGCCCCTGCCGGCTCCTGGGCCGGCTGCTGGCGGCCGGACTCGGGCCCCCTCCTCTCACGGAGGCAGACCGGACGGGTGCAGGGCTCCCCGTTGCGTTTTTCTGCCCGAAGACAGCCGGCCGTCTGGAGAGTCGGGGCATCAATTTTGTGCGGCGAGGGGGAAGAAATAAACGCAGCCTTTAAAACGGCTCGACGACAAAAACCCCAGCCAGCAGAACACCCAGCCTGGCGGGAGGCTCGTGTCGTCGATGCATCCAGGAGACGCTAGTGGCTGAGACGGGGCGGCCCCTGCTGGTCCCGTCCTGGCCCATCTGGCGTCCGTCCACGGGCGCGGAGCCCCAGCCCCACCCCACGCTCCAGAAGGTTCCATATTTGTGCAGGTCGCTGGTGAGAGTCCCTCCCGAACATTTCCATACCGATCGCTTTCGCTCCTGGTCACTCGATGCCTCCTTCTCATTGAAAAAGTCATCAAAGAAGCTTCAAAAGGAGAAGCAGAAGGTTTGCCCTCAAAGCCTGCTTGTCACCTGGCCTCCACTTTGGAAGCTGCGGGCTCCCTGTGGAAGCTGGGTCTGGGGACAACTGCCGCTGTCCTGTTCCTCTCTGTCCCCACGCCCCCCCTAGGGGAGGCCACCGTCACCACCACACCCACCCCCCCCCCGGGCGGGGAGGAAGGAAATTTCCACGACAGGAGGGACCACATGAGCCCGGATGAAGGCAGGGGAGGCAGCCCTGCTCCTGCCCAGGGTGGGGCCTGCTGGCCTCCCTCCTGCTGCTGACCGGGGGCCTGGGTCCCTGTGTCCACCTGTCATCCTGGCGAACTCCTACTCATGCGTCCGAGTCCTTCCCAGGCACAGCCTCCTTTCCTGGATGTGCTGCCAGTTTCTGCTGGCCTCCACGAATCAGGCCCTGGGCCAGGCAGTCGGGGTACAATGAGGTCTTTTACATCTAGAACCATCCCGTATTCTCACCTACAGCTGGGCTGCGAGGCTCAGAGAACCCCCGCTGGGCTGCACGCCCCAGGCCAGCGCCCTTCGCTATCCCACAACCCACCTGGGGACCCGCCCCAACTCGGCCATTTGCCCCGAGTTCCAGGCGCGCGCCTCCGTCTCTCCGGGCCTCAGTTTCCCCTCCTGCGCCATGAGAGCCTCGGGCCCAATTACACCAGTTGAGCTGGGCCCCTTCCCGGCCTGGGATGTCGGCACGGGGCCTGGAACCGTCCCCACCGACGCAGTATTGCCATTTAGCGACTGCAGAGCCCGGCTCGTCCAGAGGTGTATTTTGGCCCCAAAAAGAGGCCGTTTGGAGAGGGCAGGCTGGCCTCTCCTGCCCAGCGTCTGGCAGCCGGGAGCCCGGGCTGGCGGGAGCGGCTGGAGCTGGAGCCTGGGGCCGGGACGCGGGTCAGGCTTGTTTCATGTCAGGGCCCCGGGCCACGGGGGGAGGCGACGTTGCCAAAACAACGTTTTAAAACAACTCGGAAAATGTGCCGCCGCCGCGTTTCCACGGGATTCGCATCCAACCCGCCTCGCTCCCCGGGTGAGGTGGGCGCTGGGCAGGAAGGAGGGAAGGGGGCCCTGCCACGCGGAAAAGACACAGAGAGCTTTGCCCCTCCTTGCCCCTCCCCTCCTCCCTCTCCCCCTCACCCCTCCGCCTCTCTGGGACGCCCCCCCCCTCGCCACCCACCCCAGGGCTTCAGAACTTTTCTGTTTCCTTTAGCTCCCCCAGACCACCCTGGGGACTGGGCATAAACCCATTCCGCAGATGGGCGGTCCAGGCGGGGGGTGGGGGCACGGCGGG